CAAGACCACAGGCAAAAGAAGTCTTGATGAGTAGAAGATGAGAGGAAGGCCAAAAATATTAATCATGGTGACAGTTTGAATCATATTTTCAGATTATGTTCCTGCACTTTCTCACTGGCTGATTTTTTTCCGAGATGTCTTTTCTCTTTCCTTCTCTCTCTCAAATAAGCTCTGTTGGAATTGTTGAGAATGAAGTCAGTGAGATGAAACTGGAAGAACTGTGAAGTTACAGTCAGTAAAAGTACAAATGAAAAACTGTATGCCAGCACAGTATATATAATATCCTCAAAGGAATTGTCCATTAATACAGAAAGATCAGCATCTGTAGAATAGTTTCCTGCACATTTATCTCAATTCTTTATATTTTTTTCCTGTTCTGCCACTCACAAGAAATGAACCTCAGTAACTGCAACTTTTGCTGTGGAAGGGTTTTTAAGTAGTCATTCCTTGAAAAAGGAAAACAGTACTGACAAAGAATGAACCTTAGTGATGGTGGTTTGTGTCATGACTGACTTCTGTAATACTTCAAAGCTCCACAAAACTTTTAATAGGTCCTTACAATGTTCTGCTTGTCAAAGTATCCTGCATGGTGACATGAAGCTAAGATGGTATGTCACCAAGACTCCTAATCCAATATGACCTTTAATATATTTTTATCTTTCAACAGATATTGTTTATTTTCTAAAGAACTGATATAGGTGCATGACATAAAATTGTCAAGAGATTTCCCAGTCCAGAAAAATTAAACATCCTTAAGTTCATTATATCATTTATTTACTCATTAGTGAAGAAGTAATCCACTAGATATAAGAATAAGTTATGGCATTTGGAATGTTTTAAATTGTTATTCACCATATAATCAAATATCTTATGCAACATATCACTAATTTAAATGCAGCTATGCCAGATACTAGTGAAATATGTTCATGAACATATAGAAGTATAAAAATCACCAGATCATGAAGCCTGGAAAACAGCAGTGAGTTCCAAACTCTAATACTGATTAGAGATAGGCTTAATTCATTGAAATGCCACATGGAATTTACAGAATCATAGAATGATTTGGGTTGGAAGCGACCTTAAATATTATCTAGTTCCAACCGCCCTGCCATGGGCAGGGACACCTTCCACTAGACCAGGTTGCTCAAAGCCCCGTCCAACCTGGCCTTGAACCCTTCCAGGGAGGGGGCAGCCACAGCTTCTCTGGGCAATCTGTTCTGGTGTCTCACCATCCCCACAGGAAAGAAAGTCTTCCTTGTATCTAATCTAAATCTACCCTCTTTCAGTTTAAAACTGTTACCCCTCATCCTATCCCTACATGCCCTTGTAAAAATTCCCCCTCCAGCTTTCTTGTAGGGCCCCTTTAAGTACTGGAAGGCTGCTATAAACTCTTCCCAGAGCCTTCTCTTCTTTAGGCTGAACAACCCCAACTCTCTCAGACTGTCCTCATAAGGGAGGTGCTCCAGCCCCCTGATCATCTTCATGGCCTCCTCTGGACCAGCTCCAACACATCCATGTCCTTCTTATTCTGGGTTCCGCAGAGATGGATACAGTACTTCAGGTGAGGTCTCACAAGAGCAGAGTAGAAGGGGAGAATCACTTCCCTCGACCTGCTGGTCACACTTCTCTTGATGCAGCCCAGGATATAGTTGACTTTCTGGGCTGCAAACTCACATTGCTTAGGTCATGTTGAACTTCTCATTCACCAACACTCTCAAGCACTTCTCCACAGGAATGTTCTCAATCCACTCATGGCCTAGCCTGTATTTGTGCTTGGGATTGCCCCACCTAGGTGTAGGACCTTGCACTTGGCCTTGTTGAACTTCATGAGCTTTATACAGGCCCAGCTCTTAAGCCTGTCAAGTTCCCTCTGGATGGCATCCCTTCCCTCCAGTGCGTTGACCGCACCACAAAGCTTGGTGTTGACAGTTCAACTAGTATTAGTTATTTAAAGGTCTAAACAAATCACCTAGATCCTTCTTATAATCATAGCCAAGAGAAAATGTTCAAGCGAAAAGACCTTCTTTTTAACTGCTACTCTTTTTCATTAACTACCGTGGGAACAGTGGAACTCACTCAGATTTAATGAATTGGACAGTATGTCCAAATACTACATGATCTTAAGAAAAATGAACATGTCAAATACCTACCAGAAATCATCTTAGACAAAAGATTTGGATTTGTTATTCCAATACAGTGAGATAATACTACAAAGGGAGTTGTATGATCCTTCAATCCTGGTTCAGCCAAGGATTGCAAAAGTTTGGAATTTAAGCAATAGTGGTCTCACTGAGTTCAGTTAGGTACTTGTGAAAGTAGTTGCAGACTAGGGGTGTGACAGCATAAGTAGCAACAAAAGTATAATGTAGGGAGTGACTTGGGCTGTCTTGGGCTCTCATTCAAGTCTACTTTACAATAGAATAATTTGAAGTAGGACTGAAAGTAAAATGAAAGACTTTTTCACTTGGCAAGATACAGTTGCTTTAGAATTGGACAGCTCATATCACTTTGACCAAGAGGTTTTTGAGGAATTTCAGCCTTCCTATCCTTTTACTGTTGACATCCTCAGCTGCATGTGACTAAATGGTAAAGGGGATAAACTCTTCGGAATCTAAAACTAGAAAACATTTATCTCCTCATCTCCTCCTGCCCAGATAGGCCACACTGGGCAACTTCTTTTTGATACTAGTCTATTTATTTCCAAAAATCCACAATGCAACAAACCACCAGCCAGCAAACCTGCTTACACAAAACACAATTTTGAACAAATACAGAGCTACTGCCAAATGTTATTCTCTGTACTGATATTGGGAAATGCACTGCTCATAGGTGCTTTTGTTGCTTATGTAAGGCAACTAGAATTAAACCCTAAAATGAAAGATATATGTTTTAACCAGTAGAACAAAATTTTAATCCAGTCAATTTTCCTTTACCCAAAAAAGAAAATGAGGGAAATGGGCACTAAGTAGAACTTTTCACAGTAATAGCTGCAGGGAACAGAGATTGATTGCCCTCTCAGTAATTAAAATCATGTAATAAGCTTTTAGTCACCACCAGTGCAATTATTCAGACTTCAGCAAGTGTACATTAAATGCTTGATAAAGTTTTTAGGTGACAATTGAATACAGTACTAAAGATCCTTTCCCTCTAAAATGGATGCACTTAAAGATCTCTGAGTAGTTATTTTCTCTTCACCAGATGAATAAAATCATAAATGAAAACTCATTCAGTTCAAACAAATTTTATAATTTGGTTTGGTTTGTCTTTGCCAAACCAGAAAAGAAGTGAAAAATAGTCAGATGTTTACTGAAGTATTGCATTGAACATGAACAGAATATTTGATTTTCAGACACTTTGGGACAAGCAATGAAATGAAGAGCTAGAATTAATAATAGTTTAGTCATTGATTTTCTTTTATCCAATTTATAGGGGTTAGCAAAATCTTCAGGAAGGCCAAAGACTCATGTTCATTTCTGTGCTTTACTTGAGTAGATTTGAACCAATCTATCTCAGGAAGCTTCCCTAAATACACACTATGATGGTATAAATACCATCATCTCACAGTAACGTGTCCTTCCTCTGTCTGATTGGTCATATACTGTTTCATATTAATATTTAAAAAATCACTGGAGCAGGGGCTGGAATGAAAATGTCCTACATCCTATGAGAATGCCCAGCAGATCAAGCTAGGTAGTGAAATAATTCACTCCTTCACATGATAGTTCAATGAATTTTAAATAGTTTACTCTGAGCACAGAGGCTCTAACAGACTGATAGTACTTTATTTTTGTGTGGCAGATGTGAGTTCAGATCCCTTCAGGCAGAAAAGCTTGATCCCTGGTCTCTCATTTGGTGAATAAGTGCCTAAGCTACTGGATAAAAAGGAATGGTAATAACACCATTCCCTCAAATATTTGGCTACAAATATTTGGAGAAATTGGACCAAGTTAATGAAGAATTTCTAGTTGAAAGAAGCAATTTTTTCAATGCAGAATTTAGTCACATAAAAATTAAAAGCAAGCATGAAACACTAAGTTGCATACAGGATCTCTAATTTTTTCTGTATTAAAAAATGTTTAGATTTAGGGGTATATCTTGTGAAATGATTCACATTGTTCCATATGAGTCTTCCTTTCTTCACTGTTAAATATCACTCCCCTAGTGTTGTTCAGCATTGGCACACTGTATCAGCAATTATTTTCTGTATGACTTAAGACCAGCAATGAAATATTGAATGATGCACGACCAATTACTGTCCCACGTAGAACTTCTGAGACATATACTCTGATAAAAAGACCCATGAGCTTCTCACCTCATCATCCTTTATATACTTGTGCCTGAATGCTATTTAAAATCTTTTTGGTGTCCTGAAAACTATCTTTCAGGTGGATGGATTTCCACAAGACAAACCTTTCTCACCATGACCTGATCAGCAGGTCTTGATAGACACCTAAACACGGATGAAAAAAAAACCAGAATATTCATCTATGTTAGAAAAGTGGTTTCTGCATTTCATCTCTGAACCATATGGATAAAGCAGTAGGAGAGAAGCTGTGCTGCTGTTAACCATGCCATGACAGTTTTTCCCTTCTCTCTCCATTATTGTCATTTTGGTCTCACTCACCATAAAATTACGTGGGGAAGGGGGGAAATGAAGATCTAAAACTCCACACGCTTGTTATTCTAATGAGTTAGTTCTATTTTTGTTAATGTGACAAAGTGCAGAAGGGAGACAGTAGAGACCATTTAAATTCTTTGTTCTGGTACACATGCAATCCCCTCCCTAGCATTACTCATTTTCCTGTAAAGGGACTTTTCTCCTACTGGGCAGAGGAACGTTTATCCAAAGTCTGATGTGTTTGCATGGTGTCACTGAGAATCAAAAAATCCTATACAAGAGACAAGGTTGTTCTTAAATCACAGACACAATGATATTTCTATGATTCTTTTCTCTTTTTTTTTTTTTTTTTTTTTTTTTCTTTCCTTTTTTTAATTTGCGTTGGGGTATGCAGCATAACTGTAAAATCCAGAGACTCACAAGATCTGTGAGAACATATCTAAACTGACAGGAGAGGTGTCATTGCCCTCTGGAACTTTCTAATTTTGTCACACATGTTACAATGTAAATTATGGGTAAACAAGAGAGAGCTTTTCAATTTTAAATTAGAGTTTGTTAGGCCCAGTGGGAACTCTCACCGTGTTCTGAGGTAGGATAAGAAGTAAGTTATCTGGTTACTTCAGGAGTTTTACTATTTGATGACGGAGAACCCAGCTACCAAGACAGAAATTAATCCAGAAGAGGGAAAAGCTAATTTTCACTGACTTTCCATATCACAGTCACTGAATGACAATGATGAAACCAGCAATATGTGTATTGGGTGTCTGTCCAAAGTAGAGTGGTACACATTCCATATGCTTTTGCTGAGGTTATCATGAGAACTTTTTATTTTTGAAATTTTTAATGAGCTTTAGTTGCTAACAGTCAAAGAAAAAAATGTTAATGGCAGACAGTTTCTCCCACGGGCAGGTTAATTTTTGTAATGCCTTTCCTCAAATTGTGGAAGATGACAGTTTCATTGTTTAAGGAACAAGTGTCAATATAAGAAATTGAAAAGATGAATATGTTTATGCTGATTTTAACCACCTTTTGACATGTGCTTACTTACTGATTAGAGCAACAGGGATATACACACCTCCTTCACGCTTTCCAGTCTCAGAACTGACAGGTAAGAGATCCTGGATGTTACTGTCTCCTTTTTGTATCTGGACTGCATCCTGTTTCTGTTACTCTGTGCAGCTACTTGATCCACAGGACAGCAGAAAGGAATGCTACCATCCTCCCTTTGCTGTCCCTCATGCTGACTGCCTGCAGATGTCAGCCATCTGTCTGTCCCACCCTCCTGGCAAACGGGGAGGCTGCAGCCCAAAGTGCCTGAGGTGGGCAGGAATGCTGCCCTCAGCCAGGAGCTGCAAGCAGAAAGAAAACGTATGGATGGCTACAGTCCCCAAAATTGGTCCCAAAAGGAATTTACTTCAGACAGACTATTTGTAGTATGCAAAGTCATATTGACTGGTTCAGTTCACTGTATCCAATGAAAACAAGTGGAGATAAGGGACTGTACATGAATCATACACCAATGCAGACCAGTGCAGCAGAAGCCTGAAGTTTTAATGCAACGAAACCAAGGAAAACAGCTGTTGTGGAGCCAAGGAAAGACTTCCTTTTGATGTAATCCTCAATGTTGTTAATCAAAGGTGCAAGGAGCCCACTCTTGGGTTACTGTGGGAAGTGACATGATGGTCCTGCCTCTGGGGCTGCAGGAATAAGGAATGGGTCCTCTCTGCATCCACAAAGGTCAGGGAACACAAGAAGGAAAATGCCACTGCCTTTAGCCAGAAAGACCTTTCTGAAAATCAGTCACATGAGAGATTTGATATTTAACCTCTGTGTGCATTTGCCCTGCCGGATGGTCAAAGACTGGGAAGGAAAATTGTCCAGCCATGGCTTGGTCCCAGGTTCATCAACACTTGGCCTTGCCTCACCTGTGCTCCATACAAATGCTGCTTGGCCAAGGAACTGAGGGACACAGGGCCCTCACCAGCCTGGTTTGGCTCCCCTGTGCTGCTCGCTCGGCTGGCCGTGCTGTGCCACTGACAAGAACATGTCTGCTCACATCGGCTCCTTCCCGGCGCCAGGGCCTGCGCCCTCACACTGCCCACGCCTCAGTGCAGAGCAGATCTGATTTCTTTGGTGAGTTTTAAGTGAACAAATACTTCAGGCTCAGACCACCCTATATATTTATACACTTTATGCAGTATACTGATTTATCATTGAGAATTTCTTAGTAGAACAAAAGTGGATAACAGTATATGTCATGGGTAAGAACTATTGACCGCAGTATGACCAGTCATTGCAGTTTTCATATGGGAGCTTGGCTAGGTTTCAAGGTCTGGCTGTACAGCACTCTCTGCATATGACACGCTACCATTTATTACAAAAAAATGCCAGCCCATGGTGCTAATACTCACTGCTAGTTTTTAAAGATAGGAAAAGCTAGATTAACATAAGGTTTTGAAGCACAAACATGACAATTTCTAATGTATACAAGTATGTTGTCCAGCACACAACTTCCTAACTCTATTCCCTAACAATAACAGTGTTGCTGTTTGGATCATTAAAAAAAAAGAAAAAAAATCACAAAAAGTCAGACACAGAATTGTAAAAGTTATTGTGTTTCGTATGAGATAAATTCTGTCCGGAGCAATGAAGTCCCATTTTCAGTTGAATTACAGTATTTTACAAATGTCATAAATGTGAATATGTTAAAAGCAGAGAAGTTTAAGGTACCATTGTGTACTTAAGTGATAAACAATTGTGAACAAACTTGCCAAGGTCCAGCACTTCAGAGTAGCTAGATAACACTGAGCAACACAAAGCAATAAAGCCAAATGCTCTGTACTGATACTTCAAACTCTATATGCACTTATGTCAACACACAGAGAACAGTATCTCATCTGTAGTAATGCATTTAGACAAAACAAGTGTTTGGGAAACCTACACTGGATGCAAGTGATGCTTTAAAAGCAATCATAAAAATGAGAATGTAAACCAAATTCTATCTGTCCATGGAGACAAAAAAGATGACAATTTTTATAGGATTACTAGATTAATAGGTGATTCTGATTTTCCCACTGTTGTTGTTTTATTCTACCTTGCTATCTCTCTCTCCCTTACCATCAACAGGGCATCCAAGCCAGGAATGCAAAGTGTTCTTCACAAGTAATTGTGCTGGGCTATGAAAGCATCATGTTAATCTGCACACGTACTTCTTTCCTACACTGATGAGCTTGAGAGAGCTGGTAATTTTCCCTAGTTTCACAAAAAGTGGGATTTTTTCCCTCTGACTATCTTTACAGAGGAGAAACTGTCTTTTTTTTATTTTTTTATTTTTTTAAAATAAATTTACCATCCATACAATTCAGCAGGGGGAAATCTCTAAAACCATGCCTTGGTAGTGATAACAGGGTCTAGCACAGTATTGTCTTCTTCCACACAAAGCTGTACAAGTCTCAACTCAGTGGTAGCCAGGAGAGAGAGAAAGCAATATTCTTTGAGCCAAACAGCTGAAAGCATGCAGCTGAGTTCAGATGCCCAAGTGCTGTCAGACTGTGCTCTTTGGCAGCCCACTAAGTCAGCCATCTCAGCTTTGGTAACATACCATGATTTGAGTGGATAGGTAAAAATTATACGGCACACTTGCTTGGGATTTATCAACCCTGCTGGTAAAGCACATGTTTATTTTTGCATGACAAAATAACAGGCTTGATGGATTAGCTGAAGGCAGGCTTCAGGCAGTGTGTCCTCTAAAGGATCAGTTTACAGGCATTCCCAAACACTTTGCCAGGCAAGGTCCAATTTGAAAGGCCCCACAGGGGATGCTATGGAAGATAAGTAATATGAGAAAGTCCAGTTACAACACAGGCAGAACCCCTCACTGCCATTGCTATTACAGCCTGATTGTTAATTATCTATTTTATGGGCTTGCTATGGGGCACAATAGGATGCATGGATCTTCCAGTCCTTAGTCTATACCCACTCTATCTGTTGCTCATAGTACAGTCTTCAGCAATCTGGGACTTGATTTTTCTGATGTTATCTGTCAAATGGCGATAACTTTATGCCTCTTGCCTCATAGGTGCTATGAAGATTAAGGGATGTCTGTGCATTACTTTCAACATACAAGTCTGCTAGAAGTTTTTGCTGTTGCTCATTTTGAATGTCTTATATATAGTACATTCCTTCCAGGTAACAGGCACATTTTTATTTGTATTTATCATGTTATTATCACCCTTCCAGATATTCTGAAATATGGATCATGCAGCAATATAGAATATCTTATGTGTTACTGATTGTTCAACAAGACTGAAGGTATTTCTTTGGCCAGTAGTCAAAGATATACAAGGGCTTTTCATACTGTAGCTAGAACTGTCTTTATGTAAAAACCCAAATTTCCTAATTGGTTCAGGGACTCTTATTAAACTTTACATGAAGAAGCAGATGTTTGAATGTCTTTTTTCTGTTGTGATTTTAGGTTAAGGATATTTTAAAGTGTAAAATGAAACTGATAATTTATATGGAGAAATACTAGGAACTGACTTGAGGACCATTAGTTACCCGTGGTCTTCTCTAAGAAGAAAATAAAGAAAAAAAAAAAAAAAGACATTAACCATGAAGCTCATGTAACACAGAGAAGTGTCTTTCAATAAGAGATGACCAGTCTAAGGATAGCTTTTAGGGACGCTAATTTAGAAAAACACAGTAGACAAAAAAGCAATAACATTAGCCTGGATGGGTTTCCCTTCCATTTTATGAGCCCTTAAGCTATTGAATATTCACAGTAATGGAGGTGATTAGAAAAAAAGAAAATAGAGGCTTTACTTTTTTTTTCTGTTATGTGAATAACATAACATGGTGCTCAGCTGTTTATTAAACTTTAGGGCCTACAGCAGAAGGGACATTAAAACATCTCTTGGAATTGCATAGGTGGTTGCAATAGGTTCAGTTCTCTGTTTGACAAAGAACACCCTTGGAAGAGTGCTTGCCATTGAATCTTCCCTTTTTCACCAGTAACAACCTCTGATGCATTATTTGTTTTTTAATATAGGAATATATCAGAAGAGTTGCTTTGAGAAATACAAACAATTCTCCATCTTTCCCAGAGTCCTGTCTCTGAAAATAGCCAAAACCAGAAGACCAGGGAGGAATGACAGAACAGGAGAAGCATACAGTTGTGCTTTTCAGGAGGATCTCCAAGGACCAGGAACCTGTACTTAGGGCATTTCTAAGACAACAGTCTTAGAACTGTCTTTAGTAGGTGACAGCTGAATCCACATGTCCATGTCTGCAACCTGTGACTGCATGGCACTCACATCATCTTAATTTAGTCCTGATAAAATTAATCTGACACCTCTGAGTAAACGTTTATTCACCAGTGTCCTGGTTTGGTCTGGAATAAAGTTAATTTCTTCCTAGTAGCTGATATAGTGCTGTGTTTTGGATTTAGGATGAGAATAATGTTGATAACACACTGAAGCTTTAGTTGTTGTTAAGCAGTGTTTATACTAAATCAAGAACTTTTCAGATTTTCATACTGCCCTGCCAGCAGAGACTGGGAGCACACATGATGCTTGGAGGAGGCACAGAAAGGACAACTGACCCTAACAAGCCAAAGGGTATTCCATACCATATGACATCATGCTCAGTATATAAACTGGGGAGAGTTGACCAGGGGGCACCATGGCTCAGGGACCGGTTGGGAATTGGTCAGCAGGTGGTAAGCAATGTATTGTGCATCAGTTGTTTTGTATATTCTATTATTACTATTATTTTCCTGTCTTTTTCTGACATATTAAACTGTCTATCTCAACCCACAAGTTTTACTTTTTTTTTTTTTTTTACCAATTCTCTCCCCCATCCCACACGGGGGGGGGGGGGGAGGGCGCGGGCAGGGGGGTAAGTGAGCGGCTGTGTGGTGCTTAATTCCTGGCTGGGATTAAACCATGACAGTTGGTCATCTACTTGCAACACGATATAATGTAAGTAATTCTTTGAAGCTGCTTATTCTATAACAAAAATTCAGTGTTAGACATTCATAAAAGTTCTAAATAGATCACAGCAGGGCCAGATTAATGAAAAGGCATGATGTATGCTTGTCATCTCAAAAATGAGGAATTTTCTATCAAGTGCTGAAAAACAGATATTGCAGAAATAAAATAGATTAACAGAATGGTCTTAATCTTATCTATTTATTTATTAGCAAACTCCAAAGGAACATATTTTGATCACTTCTTTAACCATTTGACTTATGTATTATGTAATTTATTCACTGACTTTGTAAAAGAGCTATTTTGAAAACAGAGCAAAGTTAATATCACTAATAAAAAAATGCGGAAGTGTTGGTCTTTTATTCTGTGTCCCTATAACCCTTTAGGATCCTCAGTCTCCACAATGTAGTGGAAATAAATATTCAGAAGTATGCATTAACAATAAAAGATCACTGTTTTCTTCTACTTTGCATATTAATCTCCTCATGAAGGATTTGATGTTGTTTCTGATGTAGCGAAGGGCAGGATTGGTCCCCAAAAAATTCTTCTACTTTTTCTTTTCTTGTTATTCAGTTTTGTGATCCAAATACAACTCTGGAAATGGAACTACTGAAGAAAACAAATATTAGATTTTAGATAAATTTATTCTCTATCAAGCTCATGTAAATCTAAACTATCGAGATTAAGTAAATTATAAACAATCTATGTTCTTGGTAATGGATATAAAATGCTATTTATCAGTCTCTCTGGTGCAAAAATGAGGTACAATGCCAAAAATGGTGTAAATATTGCCATTTGTAGTGCCATTAAAATGGAAATTAAGGAATCAATCATGGTTTGTTGTGCAATTCATAATTTAGGTGAAACTTGTGGTACTATTTGATGCTGCAGATTCAGCTTTGACAGTCCTAAGATGATAACATACCATTTTTTATCAGATGTTGTTAGGCCATGATGCTGTAAGTGGAATTTATAAGGCATATTTTAAAGTGTGATGAAATGCAGATGTGCCCTAGAAAGTCACTAATCTCTTATTTAGGCATTAAATAACAGTCTTGGCCATTTGGGATAGTTTCTTTTATAGTTCCATCTTCATAATATCTCAGGACTTTACAGTAATTGATTAAACGACATGACAACCATCTGTTTCATGTGGTTAATCTCTTCCTCATCCTCCCATGAATGCAGTATCAAGACTGATTTTTGATAGCAGTTTATTTTTTAAGTATGACTGTCTATGCTAGTGAAAACCCAGCTGAAGAATGTGTGTTGCATTTGGAGTACATGAACATGGGAATGTTAGTTCTTCTGGTCAAGAATATGAGAATTAAATAAATGGCAAAGTGCAGAATTTTATAACTACACTTGCTACTAGACCTGATGTCTAACAGGCTTGATCAGGCACGGGTAAAAATGTTAGGCTTCTCATTAAATCAAAAACACCTGGGAAAACATCTGAGAAAAGAGAGGTATGAAAATTTAATCACATTTCTTTTCCAAATCATCATTTTAATTGTTACTGTGGAGTCTTTTCATTTATCGTTTTTCTTCTGTAGTGCTGATATTTTGGAAGAAAACCCACCCCAAACCACTTTTGCTCTCCTCAGACTTTCAGGTAGATACAATTTAGCACCTGCCTCATAATTCCATGTTATCTCCCACAGCAAGATGGGAGAGATGTTTAAACGGTTTAATAGAAGACAAGTTCAGTTTTTAACTCTGACTGTTAGAAAGCTTCTAATTTCCACAAATGTTGGAAGACTCTAGACATAACTCTCACTTCTGAATTGCTCATATCCCTTAGCGTTTTTTTTGGTTTTTTTTTTTTTTAACGCTTATCATTTACTTACCTCATATATTTATAGAAAGTAATAAAATGCCCTCTAAGACTTCAATTTGCCATACTTAGTTTCTTCTCACAAAGTATAGAAATTATTTTTCCATATCTTTTCTGGTTTGACCTCCTCTTTCTTTAGTGTGGGGGATCAGACTACCTTACAGATTGTAGGCAAGGGTTTAGCAATATCTAACACAACAGGATGATATCATCAGTTTTACTGTTCTACTAGAAACCTTTCTTCTAAAACACTGTAGAGTCACTTTACATCACTGACCACATCACATGGGTTTCTGAGTTATTCTTGAGTTCAAAAACACTCACATCATTAATCTCTGCTGTTTCTACACAAAGAGCTTCCAAATTACTGTTGCTTTTCTTATGACTTCAGAACTAATATTGCTAGTTAATTTTACACTATTTCATTACTTTATATTTTCTACTCCTTTAATCATGTCTTTCTCTTTGTATGATACTTCCGTATTCCCTGTCTTGATGCTTTCAGTGTTATGTGAGGGATGGATTTCATGAGTATGGACTACAGTATTTTATGGTCACTAATGTTAACAATGGTTCCTGATGGACTGCACTGGTTACCTCTTTCCCCTCAAATATCCCCCCCCTGCAGCCCTATCCATTTTCATTTACTGTTTATGCATTCCTTTCCCAGGTATGACAGGATCCTGAGTCAGCTACAGCTTTCAAATGAGGTAGGCAAGATGTTGTTGCAAAATTCCCCAACAAGGTCACAAAATCTTGAACTCAAAAAATCAGCTTTAATGCGAATATGAATAATTAACTTCCAAACCAGACAAAATGCAATGTAGCTATGCAAGATAGAGTAGTATAAAAGATCTAATTGATATTTTCCTCCTGCTCACTTGGACCTTGTGGAAAGCTCTTTCCTTCTGTGTTTACCCTCAGTTAGCTCAGTGACTTCCGAGTTGCAGCAAATTGCCCTGTAACCTCTGTCTGACTGGAAATTCTTTCTACACCCTCTGAGACCTGTGTGTCCTTTCCTGTCCTTACAGAAACATTTGAGTTTTTTTTCCCTGAGCTCCAGCTCCCAGCCCTGTGTATTGTCTCTCTCTGTCCTTGGCCTCTCGCTCATGGCAGTCTCTCAAAGCTGATGACTTTCAGGCATGTCTATTTGCCACCAAAAGAAGGGAGGAGCCTCTGTTCTTTCCAGGAGTTGCACCTCACCTACTCACTCTTTTAACAGACTATAACATAAATGAAGAACATTTACTGTTTATAGCGTACTCCTTATGGTTCCTTTATTAATCTCTATGTTTGCCAGCTTAAGTAATATTTACATATTTAGAGAAGAACATAAAAATATTTATTGAAATCCGGATAAATGAGTTATACTTTAGTTTGTCCAAAGAACACTTCCAGGTCAGTCTGTCAAGAAGTGTCTTTAACAAACCATGTTACATTTCATAACAGCTACCTTTAAGTTTTCACTTATCCCTTCCTCCCAAGTCTGTTCTCCAGGTTGCTGTGTTGGAGTTTAGACTGAGAGGCCTGAAGTTGCTCACATCAATTTCCTAAATATAGATACCTCATTTGAAAAAATCAATTATGCAGAAGGAGTTCCTAAAATACTTGTTGTGGGATTTACAAATTCAGTACCAATTCTAAGGGAATTATCTCACTACCTGACCTACGTTCTATAAACTTTTCCTCTACTCAAGTTGTGACAATTTCTAGTTTTAAATATGCATTCTCATGATCTGGTTTCATTCTGCATTAGCTTTCTATATCATCAGTCTTGGAAGCTAAACAGAATATACTTAGCTTTGAACCATACCAACATTATCTTATTCTTTACCTCTTTATTATTCTTGTGTCCCTGTTCTATAATTATTTATATAGCTGGACAAATTTTCTCTCTGCTCGCTTTCAGAAAGCCAAATTCAGCTTGGCTTTTTTGATCATTATCATGGAAAACTTTGCCTGACTTGACATCCAACATATAGATGTCTGTGCTTTTTTCTATTCTTTTATTATTTTTAGTATCCTTCTTATTCTCAGGCTCCTTTTCCTCTAAATATTCCAGTGGATCAGATAGCTCCAAGTCCATTTTCAAGATTTTCTGTGTGCCTTCATCTGTCCAATTTTACTATGAAGTTTCTCTAACTTTTCAACGTTTGGTTATTCAAAACAGTCTTAGCTGTAGAGTTATGTTTTTATTGTTTGATTTTACTTGAACAGAAATAACCTATCACTTCTCCATCCAAGATTATTTTCTACAACAAACTTCCACATTGTCTTATTTATTGATGAAATCAAGTTTAAACAGAATCCTTTTTCTTGTTTCAGTGAGTACGTAATGAAGAAATCTGACAGCTATCGCACCCAAGAAAATGTTTTCCAAGCAGTTTCTACTAATGTCCTCTATGGAACAATTCCGGGTAATAATTCTCTCTCTAATAACATTGAAGATTTCCTATTCATATTAAAAACACACCGAGAGATTCTCTGCTAGACTGCTGGCATCAGTCCAGGGGAAGCTGTTTTACTATCTTTGTTTTATGTCCTTGTAAAAAATATACCTTAGGAGATAAAATGTGAAATAATTTTATTCCCATTTAAGGAACTTTTGCCTGAGTGGAATTCATTATTTGGTTTTGTGATGCTATATGGAGCTTTGACTAACTCTGAATTCTGCATCCCAGGGAAAAATGCAAAATTTTAGGTCCATCTTAGGTTTTTCATGTCTGAAATAGGCTGCTACAGTGGGAGCAGAGGATGCATTCTGTATCTTGGGGATAATGATGGGAAGATGCCTGGTTCTTCTCATGTTACTGGAGTAATAGGCAAACGTGAGGCTCAATGCAGTGATGATACATAACAACACCGAGGGATACCCTGTAATTCTGAGCTAGGCAAATCTTCAGATTTTAGTAGGTGTTTGTGTAAAGTATAGATGCAGAAATTTCCTTTGCATTTTACTAAACCAAGAACA